ACCTACTTGTTGGATGTTGGGTGTGATTGTCAGAGAGGCTCTGAATTTAAGCCAGCTGTCCATCTTGGAAAGTCGGGAATTTGGCTGCCGTGTGAAAATCCTGTTCTTGTCATGGTTTTGTTGGGGATGGCAGTACATGTCAGAGAACGTGTGGTGCATGTGCCCTCACCAAACATTAGTTCCCCTTTCCGTAATTCATCTTATACTTCCCACATACACCGCTCCGGAGCCCCTCCCCAGTCACGAAAGCCTGCACATGCTGGCAGGTGAGAGGGGGAGGACCCCGAATGTCGGGGTGGCATGTAAAGTGGCACAACCATTTCAGAGGGCAGCTTGGCACTCACTTTTTTTTTCTTTTTGCTATAGGGTGCATACACTCCCCTGAGAAACAGAGAGCGAGAAATCACCTCCCAGGGGGATGTTCATGCCACCATCCCTTCTCCTCCATTCTCTTCTCAAGACCTTAGGCACACATGCACACATGCCCAGCATGAGTTTTAAGCCTCCAGGTCTGGGTCTCAAACCGTGGCTGACTACATGGAGTCCAGTGACATAGCCATTAACCATCTGCTGGTCCCAACACTCCGCTTTAAACTAAAAAGTACATGTGTTCAGTGTCCTCTGACTGGGACTTCTGTCCGTCCCCCCTGAATTGGCCACACATGTGCACGTACATATGAAGAGGCCTGGTCCTTTGTTAAAATAGCAAAGCAGCTGACCTCCTCCGGGATTTGCCTGGCAGATTGGAGTCTCTCTAGACTACAGAGCACTGAACTGCAGGTAGGTAAGCCAGTGGGGAGTAAGTGCTCTGGGTAGGTTTTGTGTAAGTAAACACCCAGGACGTAATGTCAGGTTTTCTTCAGTGTACTTGGAAGCTCAGACACGTGCGTGTGTCCACAGGACTAAGAGGGTGGCCAGGACAGGGTGAGGCCCAAGAAGACTCATAGGTTGTGTTTCTACAGTACGCAGTTATATAGCATGGGATAGTGGAAATTTTAAAATAAGGAGGTGCGGTTTTTTGCAGATTTTAGAGGAATGAGAAAAGACCAAGCAGGATTTTCTAGAGCTTAAGTGGTCCTGGCTCATGTTTTGCTCAATTAAGTTTTATACTACTTAGATTTAACGTTCTTTTTTTTTTCTTTTTAAGAGCAATTTTTGCTATAGGGCGCATCTGCTTGCTAGAGAGACAAAGCAGGAAGTCACCCCCTAGAGGGACTGGCCTTGCCACAGTCGCTCCTCCATTCTCGGGATTTGGGGCATATGGTCACGAACCACAGGTGACTACATGGGAGTCCAGTGATGTAACTGTTATGCCATCCACTGGCCCCCTTAGCATTCTTCTTAAGTAAAAAATTTTTGGTCCATCTTACTTAGTTTAGTGGATTGGTATTTTCCCATTATAATTCACAGTCGTCAACATCATTATTTTGCTTTCCCCTTTAAAGTTTGTTTTTTATTTTTTGTTTTGCTTCTTAGCAGCCCAGGGGTTCAGAGAGGTCACTGCACCGAATCCAGTCCTTATTCCTCCAACAGTAGGATAGAACAGTGCGTACCCTCTGGGATGTCACTGACCTTTCTCTTTTTGGGGGGGGGGGATTTTTGCTGTAGGGTGCATACACTTGCCAGAGAGACAGAAAGTCAGAAATCACCCTCTAGGGGGATCGCCATACCACAATTCCTTCTCCTCCAGTCTCCTCTTGGCATTTTGGGCATGCACTCCCACGTGCCCGACATGAGTTTTAAGCCACTGTGCCTGGACTTGAATCACAGTCAGCTACTTGGGAGTCCAGCAGTGTAACCCTCATGCCATCCACTCGTCCTACTGACCTCTTGCTAGGTTTCCCAGCGTTCCTGCTGGACTTCTCAACCTCCTGTGGGGCCCATGTTCAGAAGTCTCAGCAGCTGCTGGTCCTGAGCTTTGCCCCTCTTCCCTGTTAGCACCAGCACCAGGAGCTACTCCGTACATGAAGGAAAGGGAGAGGAGAGCAGTGCACGTGCGTTCGTCTGAGTTTCCTCAAGCAGGGTTTCTCAGCCTCCGCACTGTCACTGTGCTCTAGATTGTTCTTTGTGGTGGAGCCTGGCCCGTGCATTGTGAGATGTTTAGCAGCATCCTCTGCCCATTCCAAGCAGTTGCACCACCCAGGTCGGACAACCAGAAACATCTAGACATTGCCAGATGTCTTTGGGGGACAAAATAGCACCTCACCACAAAGCACTACACTAAATGAACTGACAGCAAGGTGGTTGTGAATTACCTGCTTGAGTTCATTCTACTTTTAAGTATCTCTCTTCGGCCTACCAAGGATAGGCAGTACTAGTCCCTGAGCAAGAGGGGATCTTATTATTTCTTGGCGATATTCCAGATTCTTTACCCAAGCCCTGGAGTATTTCTGTGTAGCCCTGCAGGAAAATCCAACCGTGTGGCCCTTGTCAGCTGGCCTGGCTAAGGGACTAAGTCATGGCTGTGTCACCATAAGCCTCCCAAGGAAATCTACCTGTGATGCCTCACCGATTGGCTACTCCTATTGCTGGATAGGGGTGGGGAACAGGCAGCAGTAGTGGGCAGGCAGTGTTTTGAAACACATGTGATTTTTTTGTTTGTTTTTGTTTTTGAGAGGTTTTGCTATAGGGCGTGTACACTCGCCAGAAAGACCAAGACAGAGAAACAGAAAGCAAGAAATCATCCCCCTGGGGAGATGGCCATGCCACAATCCATTCACCTCTTGAGATCTTGGGCATACGTGCACACGTGCCCGGCGTCAGCTTAAGCTACTGGGTCTGGGACTTGAACTACAGTCGAGTACATGGGTGTCCAGTGACATAGCCATTACACTAACTGCTGGTCCCCACATGTGATTTTTTAGCATTTATTCACTTTCCTCATTTCCAACATTTGAAAACTGTAAGACATACAGAAGAAAATAAAATCATCTGCAGCATCTAATGGTAACAGCAGAGAGAGCGAGTTAGCAGACCACCAGCTTCCTTTTTGCCAAATCAGATGGTCCTGAAGCTGAGGGCTCCTGTTTCTGCCATGTAGCTGCAGTGGGGGCTTCCTCTCTCTGCCGCCTACTCTGAGTTGCACGCACCACCCCTCATCCTCCTCTCACACTGCCAGGATGGTGCCCTTCACCTCTGGGATTGAGTTGTCAGGCTGAGTCCTGGGTTGAACTCTCAGGTGGGCTCTGCGGGAAGAGTGGTGAGACGAGCTCCTTCTGGAGTGATTTCACAGGACGGCGCCTGGCAGGTTGTAAGTGCCCAACTGAAAGAAGCCATGCCCTGCGCTGCCGAGTGACTTTGAAGCCCTGGCACCTGGCCGTAGCTTTCTATGTAGTACCCGTATTTCACCCCACCTCCCTCATAGGGTCTTGAAAACAAGTTGCTGGTTTTCATGGCTGCCTGGTGTTTTGCTGGATTTGTGTGCCATTGCTCATCCACACAGTGACCCACAGGCTGGCATTCTGAGTGCCTGGAAGATTCTGCTGTCGCATGTACTTCCGTAACAAACTCCTGGTGTTTATCTCTGCATGTGACTCGTGTGCAATTTCCCCGAATGTGGATTTTGATCTGAAACAGCATCTTAGCACAGATACATGAGAGTTCTTCAGGTCATTCCATTTTGTGGTTTGAAAATTTTTTTTTTGTTTTTGAATTCAGTTATACAACTCTTCCTCCCTCCCTTCAAAGAAGAAAGGTATCAGTTAAAGTCAGTGCTGCAGGAAGGAGGCTGTGAGTGTCCCATGTGCTCAGGGGATGCCCTGGCAAGTGTCTCAGTTTTAACCATACTCTTGAAGAAATACGCTTCCCTGTTCTCTTGCCAGTGAGAGACTTGCTTGAGTTGGTCCAAGTGACATTTCATGGGTCGTGCCTTCATACCGATCAGGATTGAGCCTGCCTGGGAACACGGGCTGCAGCAGAGCAAGCCTTCTCTGCTCTGGTGCAGGTTCAGAGGATGAAGCTGGGTTTCTTCCCCTGAGGGGGGCCATACCCCACCTTCAGCCAGGCCTCTGGGACTGAGAGGAACGGTGCCCACGGAGGAGCTGAATTTCAAATTGATGGCGGGGGGCGGGCACAATGATAAACTGTGTAAGAGGATTTCAGCTTTTTGAATACCTTTATTATCTCTTGTATTATTTTCATTTTTAAAGTCTTACTGTCTGTATCCCTCTCTAGTGGCAAAATAGCAGGGAGAGGAAGTAGCATAGTTTTCCTGGGAGATTATACCAGTAATAATCACCAGTACCCATTACTGGTCTGGAGGTGAAAAACACTTTTCTGTTCATCTCGTCGGACCTCAGGACAGCCTGTGAAGTACTGCTGGCTTCAGAAGCAGAATGCTCAGGAACTGGACGGAGAGTGTGATCTGTGGGGGAGGGGCTCCTCCTAGGAGCAGGGAAGGACCGCAGGTCCAAGTCTGTAACCGAAGGGCCCAAAGGACACAGCAGCCTCACCCTAATCACTGGTGACAATAAGTAGGTGAAGAGGCCCTCGTTCTGCACTCCCAGCTGCTCATTAGGCCAGCTCAGAGGAGCATGATGAGTCTGGTTTGCCAGGTCCCAAGGGTGGTGAGTTTTGCTGGAACCAAACAGCTTGCTCAGAGAGTAGGAAAATACTTCTCTTATGCATGGAATTCTTGGGGGATCCAAGTCATTATCTCCTCTTCCCCCCAACTGCAGCCTGCTGCCTTTTTAAAAATACATAAATTAAGTTTATCTCAAGGAGAGAGGCATCCCCAAGAGGGTCTTCGTGCTGTGATTGGACCCTGACCCAGGACTCCCTGTGTGGGTCAGCATTGCAGAGTGTTGTGGCAGCCCTGTGCCACCACTGCCACCTACGGCTTTTGTCCTCTTACCTCCTACGCCCATGCACATCTTTTGGTCTTTCCTTTTTCTCCGCCTCAAAAATGCCACTTGGAAGGGGTGACAGGAGGCGCTCTGAATAAAAGGTGCTGCTGGAATTTACATTTTAACAAGAATGTCCATGTGCCTCTTTACCAACAGAAAACTTGGAATATAATGTGGAGCCTCAAGAAATCTCGCACCCTGATGTTGGACGCTATTTCTCAGAGTTTACTGGCACTCACTACATCCCAAACGCGGAGCTAGAAATTCGATATCCAGAGGATCTGGAGTTTGTCTATGAGACGGTGCAGAATATTTACAGTGCAAAGAAAGAGAACATAGACGAGTAAAGTCTAGCAGAGGACCTTGTACCGTTGCTGCTGCTGCTATCTTCCAAGAGAACAGGATTCCGGAAGTCGTCTCCACGGATCCCTCTGGGTTCACACCACCAGGAAAGCCACTTTCCCAGCAGGCTGGTTGCCTCCTCCTGAGTGTAGATAACGTGTGCTCTCCTCCAGCTGCAAAGACAGTGTCGCTCCCCGCCTACACTAGTGAACTCACTTGAAAGGCACTGTGTTCTCTGGCATGGCCTGTGTGCTTGTCCTGTGGTGACAGTGTGTGACATTCTGTTTTCATAAGGTCTCGCAGTCAACACTCTTATAATCCTTTTCAGTCACTTTCCATTCTTATGTGTGTCTCCGTTTGTCTGCAGCGTCGCCGTTGCCGGATGTGGGCGGTGTTACGTGCCTGCCATTTCCCTCGGCTCTGCGAGGCACGTGCAGTCCTAAGTCTGGATGTCTGTCTGTTCACCCAGCATTTCGTGGGCCAGTCAGAGGTCCAGCTATACGCCACCCTGGCAGCATCTCGGAGCTGGAGACGTTGGCTGGCTAGTGGTCATTAGGATCATTTGAATTTGTTGTTTTTTAATAGGTGAAACCAATTTTAAGCATTTCTCTTTTTTAAAAAACCCAAATCAAGAAAGGAACACAGTGTTCCAAGTTCCTCTCTTAGACTTATGCATATCCCTACAAATGACCAGTTTTTCAATTTTCTGACCAGTTTTTGTTTGTTTTTTTCATTACATACAACTCTGAGGAAACTAATAACAGTGACCTTTGTGAATGGGTGTTTCTACATTCGTCTACAGTTCCTCCATTTAAAATGACTACTTTATTTTTTTTAACTACTCTAGTATTATGAGTAGATCCTAAATCTGTGATGAGACATACAGATCTGACGTTAAGAGTGTCTGCTCTTAGAAATCGTATTTCATGATCTCCAAAGACAAAAAAAAAAAAAAGTTTTACATTATAATGAGAAAACAAGAAATAGTGAACCTTAAAAAGCTTTTTAGAAAGAAAAGAGATTTCTTGCCCTTTATTCCTTAGAATCACTCAAGAGACCTTTCTGAATGTGATGGGTAGAGATTCAGTGTCTCTAATATTAAGTGTGTTCGGTTAGTGGGAAAGGAGGTGCGTGTCTTTCTCAAGCCCATTGCCCTGAAGGCACCAGGACAGAGCCTGTCTTCAAGTCTCATGGGGAAGCCTGACTGCATTCAGAGACCACAGGCCCCCTTCTCAATGTTCTTAGGAACCTTATGCAGCTCTGGAACTCCCACCACACTGGACCTGCCAGTTCTCAAGCGAGCTAGTTTGTAATTAACCAGTAGAAGCTAACTTTTGGAGTTAGGACCTAGATCTTTTGCTCTGTGCATTTAAAACAATACAGTTGCTCTAGCAAATGAGGCTTTGGGGGGCCGCCATCCCGTCTGCCTCACGCCTGTCTGATCACTTGCATGCAGTATTCTCACACCACGTTGAATGGCTGCTTTCTTGTTCACCCTTGGAAACCCTGGGATGACTGAGGTTTGAGGAAGCCACCTGAGACCACTCAGCCAGAGAATGCCATCAAGCAGTTACTAGAAAGGGATGGGACCTGGCCAGCGGCTCCTTCCAGCCCAGACCAGCTCTTGTCCAGTGTCTGTGTTCTTCCTCTGTCAAGTCCAGTCAGGTGATTTGAACTTGGTTTGAAAACGTGACCACTCACACCACTACCCTGCCTGAGGTTGGGGGCTTTTACACTACTCATTTAAAGGTGAAAAGTAGCTAATACGGAATTCATGTTACCAAAATGCATTACTAAGAAACTGGAGCATGCTGAGAGTCATCATCGTTGGTTTTCTGGTTCGATTTCCTTTTTTCTTAGGATAACATCAAAGCCGAGAAAGATGGTGTTACCTTTACTGACCCAAGTGTAAATATGTATCTAGACTGTTTTTAAATGTGTTTAACTCATGAATGCTTCATTTGGCTCCAGGAAGCTGTGTCACCTGTGTAAGTTGGTATTTGGGCACTTTATATTTTTCTAAAAATGTGTTTTGGATCCTGTACTCTAATAAATCATAAGTTTCTTTTTAAAATTTTTCCAAAAGTTTTCTCCATTTTAAAAAGCCCTGTTATAAAAGTAGAACTTTCACAATGTTAAAATACTAAACATTTGGATATAGTAACTTCTCCCATTGAATGCCAAGACTTTTTTGTACAATGATTAATAAATGGAATTTATCCAGAGAAACCACACAAATGGCCTGCCCAGTTTCGTTTTGGAACAGAAAGCCCAGCTGTGGCAAGACCAAGCGGTCTCCCACCTCTCTTCTGACGATACATGAAAAATGGGCCCTGCCGAAGTTTCCTTATCTCCGGTGAGTGGACAGGGAACTTTCCTGCTATGATTTCTTGCTAAATGTTAAATTTATAGGCTCCCTAGTGACCATTGAGAGTATCCGGTTGTCGTGCAAAGATTGTGCCTCTAATTATGTTAAGACGCATGTGGTAAAATTAGAATTGCAGATGCCTCGAGGGATAACCAGGCTGTCAGTGGTTCCGTTCCTGTGGACCCGCAGTGTGTCCGAGCACTGATCCTGCATGACGTCACCACATACTCCGCGGGGAGAAAGGTTATGTGTAAACAGAGCTACACGATTTCCCACGTTGTAGTGGTTCTTGGAGCCTTGAAGAGGCCACTGTGCACCGTGACTTCCCACTGCAGGAGCCTAGTGTGTCCTCCTCACTTCTTAGAGCCCAGGACTGCCCTCTGCCCCATTCACAGGCACCATCCTGGCGTCCGTTCACAGGTGCACTTGGAGAAACCTGTGACAATCAGCCATCAGGTCCAAACTCTTCTCCTTAAAACCAGACCAGTTTTGCGAATATTATCCATCTCATCTAGTCTCGAAAGGCTGACCGTCCTCTCTGCCTGAGATACCTAGCAGTCTTCATTTACTTCCCAGAACCATGGATTGAGAAAGCCAGTGTGGAGCCCTGTGCTGGCTCTTATTTTGCATTCTGTTTATCTGTTGAAAAGTCTCGTTCTAAACTCACGTTTCAGCCTGCCCTAGCATACGAAACTGAGCCAGCTGCCTTGTGCTAGGCAGGCTTCCACCATAAGTAAGGCCCCTTTGCTAGGAAGGGGAAGTATTTCTTATCCTTAATTCAAGTTCCAAGTCAGTGAAATTGGACTACCAGCAACGTTTTGATTTAAAAGTCCAAGGGGACATTAAAAGTACTTTGGGAAAAGTGTGACCAGCAGATGGCATAATGGTTACATCGCTGGACTCCCACCTAGTCAACCATGGTTGGCGTTCCGGACCCGGCGGTTTAAAACTCGATGCTGGGCGTGTGTGTGTACACGCCAAAATCCCAAGAGGAGAAGGGATTGTGGCATGGCCATCCCCCCCCCCCCCCCCGGTGTGTTCTTCCTCTTTC